ACCATTGAATGTTTGGGGATCAGACTTCTTTGCAAAAATGGGATGCTCTTGGGGTAAATTCATTTGCTTGGATGATAGTACAAGTCAAAGAAAGAGGTTTGACATAGCAAGAATGCTGATTTCCACTTCAATAATGGAGACAATATTAGTTAAATTTCATATTAAGATCAATGGGTCTATTTACAACATAAGGTTCATGGAGGAGTAGTTCACCAACAGCTTTTTCTCCTTGAAACAAGATTTCATACCTGCATTCTAGAGTGATTCCGAAGATAATGAATCTTGGTCGACAGAAAGTACCAATGAGGATCATGAATTTGAAATTGCAGATGGGAGAAGGCAAGCGTTGGATGAACTTGATGATGCAGAGGTTGAAGAAGATGATGTGGAAAGTTGCACAAGGGAGATCAATGGTAAACTACAACCCTAATATCCACAAGAGGGTGATAAGACAACTGAAGCAATGCTTGACAGTATAGAAAAAAATTCAAATTGTGAATGATGGTGAGAATAGAGCAAGGGCAAAGAGGGCGGCGCAACAGAGTGGGAAATTGGTTGTCATTACAGGAACCGATAAAGAGGGTGAGAATCAATTGGGCTTGGTGGAGCACATAAATAGGAAGCCACATGAGGAAGTTAACAAAAAGAGAGAATGCTCAGATTGTGACCCAACTTGTGAGGAATCAATAAATATGGGCCAAGCCCAAGAAAGAGTAGAAGAGACAAGCCCAATAGCTAATAGAAGGAAGGTTAAAACCGGTAAAAAGATGGATCTCTTAATTAACAATGATGATGATATTGGGACTCTTTTTGGAAAGGATCGGAGAGTGATGAAAGGCGTCTTGAGGATGGGATGCAGAGGCGAGTAGAAGGAAATCAAAAAAGAAGGAAGAAGAAAATCAGAACATGCCGATCAGTGTACCTGTATGATGGCACTGTCCAAAAGGAAACGAGAAGGAAAAATGGGCAAGGATGAAGAAGCAAACAGTCAATGGAGGGGGTGATTGTGTCGAATTTTCTAGTGAGCCCCAACAACGGAGTTGCTAGCAAGTCTATTGATGATAGCGGGATCCAGAATTGTAATAGATCTCTAAAAAGGAAAGTGCAACAGAAGCTGGCTAAGGACATTTGGGAGATAGCCAAACGACTAGGAGTGACGACAGAGTTGGATGAGGAGGTAATTCGAAGAATTGATGATATGGAGAGAAGAGATAGCCAAGCCAAAGCATACATGGCGAAGCAGGAAGCTGGAGGTGTGAAGAAGGTATGTATTGATTCTAATGATAATGGTATCATTTAACATTAGAGGCTTAGGAGGGGTTGGAAAAAAAAGACATATCAGGGATATAGTGTTGAAAGAGAAGGTGGAATTTTTAGCTATTCAAGAGACAAAAATGGAAGTAATTGATATAAGTTTGTGCAGAAGGGTATGGGGGAACGGAGGATTTCGATTGGATTTCCAAACCATCTATTGGCTTCTCTAGAGGATTGTTGTGTGTGTGGAATAATAAAGTATTTAAGAAGGAAAAGGTGATATAGGGAGATTATTTTATTGGGGTGTTTGGGACATGGGGAGAAGAGGCAACACCTGTTTATATTCTTAATATTTATGCTCCATGTCATTTGTCTGGTAAAAGAGCCTTTGGAAGGAGCTGCAGAATTTGATCTCAAATAGGAAAGGCAACTAGTGTTTGGGGGGGGGGGATTTTAATGCTGTTCGAAACACAAGGGAGTGGGTAGGATGCTATGGGATGTCCAAGGAAATGAGGGAATTTGATAACTTTATTAATGAAGTTGGGTTGGTTGATTTGCCTTTGATAGGGAGGAAATCTAATTGGTATAACTCTAATGGGCAGTATATGAATAGGATTGATAGGTTCTTGGTTTCAGAAGATTGGCTTATGAGATAGTGTGATGTAAAACAGTGGGGTTTGAAAAGAACAGTATCATATCATTGTCCTGTTTTATTGAGGAATGAGAGGTTGGATTGGGGCCAAAACCTTTTAAAATTTTCAATTCTTAGCTGCAGGATCCTGGGTGTAGGGAGCTAATTAGAAACATATGGAGGTTCACGGCAGTTGAGGGATGGTATGGATATAGACTTAAGGAGAACAAATGCTACCAAATGGGCAAAATGTACAATGGAACATGGAAATGGAACCTTACAT